TCCGCCTTCTCTTTCTTATGCAGCATCAGGGACTGAGCGGTGCCGCCTGGTAGCACTGGCCTTACAAACAGGTGCTGGTGCTCCTTGGAGGAGTCCTTTCCTGGTGCCGGGATATCCCGCACCGAGGCGGGGTCACTACTCACCCATGATGCGAGTGCCATTTCCGGTGCCGGCTGGGGCGAAGGCTCGACTCCATCAGGAGGAGCTTTCAATGATAGTCCCGCTCTCTCTTAATCCTGGGTCTGAAGCCCCTGCAAATTGGGCCCTTGTCTATCTGATACTGTCTCTTAGGCACTTGAGACAAGAAGCGTGTGAATCGCCTGTGGGCATAGGTTTCGCACACCTCTCGTACGCCTTAAACTCCTGTGACCGAGGCATGCCCAGGTGCCTGGGGAAACTGGGGTGGGGAGAAAGCCCCTCAAAGTAAGCCCAACTTACTAGAAACTACTATATAACAAACTATTAGCTATCTACAACTAAGAAAAGGAAACCACTACGAAGGCACTTGCGAGTGCAAGAGATTGAGCTGCTCCAACGACCGTGACTGGCATTAAGAAGGAACTGAGCAGGCAGCGGGTTGTCAGGGACCTATATACACCTCCATGAAGGCGCCACTCCATGGGTCTCCACAGCCAACCCAACGGGTACCGCTAGGGAAAAACCTTCCGACGATCTGGCATGCGGTGCGCACACACCTATTGGAATGCACATGAGCAATCATTCAAAGAAGGACATAGTGCCTCCCACGGACATGTCTGAGTAGCCTCTGCAACAGCCTGTTAGGGGTTCACTCCCTGTCAATTAATGACAGTTAACTCAAAAAAATAATAATGATTAAAAAAATTTATCACGAATAATCGCAGTTTTAATCGCACTGTTAAACAATAGAATATCAATTGAAATTTATTAAATATTTTGGATGCTTTTCTATATTTTCAAATATAATGATTTTAGTTATGACACAGAATACAATGTGTACAGTTCTCACTTTATATTATTACAGTTAAAGTTGTTTTATCCGGCATGTTGAGGGAATGAGGGGTGCTGGTAAATGAAAAATGCTGGTTAATGAAGGGGGGGGGTTGGGTGCGGGAGGGAGTACGGGGTTAGGGTTGGGGCAGGGCTTGGGCACAGGCTCTGGGAGGGAGTTTGGGTGCAGGAGGGGGTCCAGGGCAGGCAGTTTGGGCATGGTATCGGGTGCAGGGTGCCGGATCCAGGGCCACCTCAAGCAACTCCCTGGAAGCAGCAAGTCATCCCGGCTGATCCTAGGTGGAGGCACGGCAGGCGGTTTGGTGCACTCCCTCTGCACGCAGCTCCCAGCGGCCGTGGTTCCCAGCCAATGAGAGCTGTGCAGCTGGCATGGGGGGCAGGCAGCATTCAGAGCCACCTGACGCGTCTCCGCTTAGGAGTAGCCAGAACCCGGAACAGGTCGCCGCTTACGGGGAGGCATCCAAGGTGAGAGGCCCATGGATCTTACAACCCGCACCCGCTCCCACGTACCAAGACCCCTCCCACACCCAAAGTCCCTCGCAGAGCCCGCGCTACAAACCCCCTTCTGTGCCCCAGCACTCTGCCAGCCTCACGGCAACCAGACTATAAACCGGAATTTCAATGAATATCCGAAATAGAGCTTTCCTGTTGGTGAAGTGTCGGAAAATACAGTTTTTACTATATTTTGGATTACAAATATTTGCACTGTAAAAATGGTTAAAGAAATAGTATTTTGGAATTCATCTCATACAATTTCTGTAGCGCAATCTCTTTATTGTGAAAGTGCAACTTACAAATGTTGATTTTTTTTTTGTTACATAACTGCACTCAAAAAAACCAACAATGGAAAACTTAGAGCCTACACATCCTCTCAGTCTTACTTCTTGTTTATCCAATCGCTCAGACAATCAAGTTTATTTACATTTACGGGAGATAACGCTGCCTGCATCTTATTTGCAATGTCACCCAAAAGTGAGAAGAGGTGTTCGCGTGGCACTTTTGAAGGTGGCACTGCAAGGTATTTACTTTCCAGATATGCTAAACATTCACATGCCCCTACATGCTTCGGCCACCTTCCAGATGACATGCTACCATGCTGATGATGCTCGCTAAAAAAGCAATCTGTTAATTTAATTTGTGCCTGAAATCCTTGGCAGAGAATTCTGTATCTCCTGCTATGTATTTTACATGCATTCTGCATATCTTTCATGTTACAGTAGTCTCGGTTGATGACTCAGCACATGTTGTTCATTTTAAGAATACTTTCACTGCAAATTTCACAAAACGCAAAGAAGGTACCTGTGACTCTCTGTACCTCGGGGAATCACCCAGCACCACAATATTCATCCTTATAAAATGACTGTGTCTTATCCAATACAAAGTTTGTCATGTCGGCTGTCTTTGGAAGGCTCATAATACACTGAGCTTTGTTGTTATAGTGATGTTATAGCAATGTTAGAGGTTATAATTTCACATATATAGTTGAAAATGTATCCTCGTGGTTTAAAATAAACCCAGGCAAAAACTCTCTAAGAGCAGAAGGGCAGTTCACACCTCATCAAGGCATGTATGGGAGAAACCCAGCCCAGCCACACAGGAACAAAGAACGCTGGCCTCAGCAGCAACAATAGGATCTGTTGGACTCTCGAGTGAGTTACTCCCTTTCCCTTGGTCAGTTTGGGACTGCAGTGAGGTAATGCTCACCTGACCATGAAGAGGGTATAGCAAAGCCAAGAGGGAAGAAAGAACATGATAAAAGGGAGAAATGTTTGCCATGCTCTTCCTCTCTCTTCCACCTACATCGACAGACACCACACCAAGGGGTTGAAGCGCTGATTAAAGGGAAGAGCCTGGCTGAAGAGCAAACAGCTAGATGGTGATAAGAAGCATCTAAGTTTCACAGGGCATTAAAAGTGTTAAGATCAGCTTAGAATCCGTTTTGCTTTTATATCATTTGACAAAATCCGACTTGCTATGCTTTGACTTATAACCACTTAAAATCTATCTTCATAGTTAATAACTCAGTTTGTTTGTTCTACCTGAACAGTGTGTTTGGTCTGAAGCGTGTCAGAGACTCCCCTTGGGATAACAAGCCTGGTGCATACCAATTTCTCTGTCAAACTGGCGAACTTACATAAGCTTGCAGCATCCAGTGGGAATAACTGGACACTGCAAGAAGGAGGTTTCTAGGGCTCTGTCTGGGACTGGCGATATTGGCTAGTGTCATTCAGTTGCACGATCCAAGGAGCACCTTACATGTCAGAGGCTGTGTGTGAACAGCCCAGGAGTGGGGGTTCTCACAGCAGAGCAGGGTAAGGCTGGCTCCCACAGTCAAGGATTGGAGTGACCTACCAGATAAGTGGTCCAGATAACACCAGAGGGGAACATTACAGTATCAATGTGAGATTTCTAAAGCTAGCTACAGCACTCGACCCAAGGTTTAAGAATCTGAAGTGCCTTTCAAAATCTGAGAGGGATGAGGTGTGGAGCATGCTTTCAGAAGTCTTAAGAGAGCAACACTCCAATGCGGAAACTACAGAACCTGAACCACCAAAAAAGAAAATCAACCTTCCGCTGCTGGCATCTGACTCAGATGATGAAAATGAACATTTGTAGGTCTGCACTGCTTTGGATTGTTATTGGGCAGAAGCCATCATCAGCATGGATGCACGCTCCCGGGAATGGTAGTCGAAGCATGAAGGTACATATGAATTTTTATCACATCTGGGGCATAAATATTTTGCTACACCAGCTAAAACAGTGCCATGTGAATGCCTGTTCTCACTTTCAGGTAACATAGTTTACCTTTGCAGGAGATAATGCTACTTGCATCTTGTTTATAAAGTTATCTGTCTGAGAGACTGGATGAACAAGCTGTAGGACTGAGTGGACTTGTA